AGGCCCCCCCGCCCCCAACAAAGCCCTGCATCAAGGGCGTCCTCCTCCGAATGCCCCTCCCGGACACCTCGTTAACACCGCCGGCCGCGACAGCAACGCTGCGACAAATGCGGGGTGTGTGGGTGTGTGGGTTTGGGGGTGTGTGGGTGTGTGGGTGGGGGGTGAGCGGCCGCGCCAGCAGCAAGGCAAGGTTAGGCAAGGCAAAAGGGAGGGGATGCAGCGATAGTTGAACTCTTCAACATTACCTTCATAACTGTCGCCAGACACGGTCGATTAACGTTTCCTTGCGACCATCCCAGTAACCCGCACCTGTGCATCGTACACACACACACACATACACATACACATACACATACACATACACATACACATACACACATACACATACACATACACATACACATACACATACACATACACATACACATACACATACACATACACATACACATACACATACACACACATACACACATACACACACATACACACACACATACACATACACACACAGACACATACACACACAGACACAGACACACAGACACAGACACACAGACACAGACACATACACACACATACATACACACACACACGCGGCATTGCCACAATCCCGAACTCGTGGGAGAATTCTCCGTTCACTGCTCCCCCCCAACCCGTCTAACTCTGGTATCTGCTTCATTCGCCAGTGGTTTGCATCACCCCGAACCCACCCATACAACCACCTTTCAGTCAGGACCCCCCCTTCGGGCCCCTACCTGTCCTCCAGCACAGGAACGTCCCTCCCGCCGGCGGCGGATTGCTCCAGGGAAGATCTGGCTGCGCCGCCGCCGCCGCCACCGCCGCCGCCCGCAGGTTGTGCCGCCAAGGCCTTCGGGGAGTTGCCTTGCGCCGCCGCTGCCGCTGGGCCACTCGTGGCGGCGCCGTCGGCTACGTGTATGTGGACATACATACGTATGTGACAAATGACGGGATGGGTGAGGGAAACCCATTTTAATATGATTTTAACGCTTTTAAAGGTCAAGGTCACCAAAGGTCTTTTTCTGAAGAGGGGGTCTTTAGTCCTAAGTTACTTGCTGGAGCTGTTGCCAAATCAGGATGGGGCGGCAGTACCGCCGTCGCCGGCCCGAAGTGCGGTGTGCCGCGGCCTCAGAAGCCCCTGTACCTGGCCGCATCCCGCCCGACCTCCTTTCCCGTCTGATGCTCCGAAACCACCTTCAAACCCCTAGAGCGGTTGGTAGTTTGACATTTGGTAATCTTCCTACGCAGCATATCTGAGGCCATATGTGTTTCCAGACCCCGCTGGCCGGGGTGGGGTTCCTTTCCTCCCTACCCCACCACCCACTCACACACCCGCACCCACACACACCTGTTGCCGTACTCGTCGCCACCGCCGCCGCTTTGCGACGCAGCCGATTCAATAAACTGCTGATCGGGTGACCCAACGGCTGAAAGCCGCCGCCGCCGCCGCCGCCGCCACTGCCTGTGGCTGCAGTACTGCCGCCGGTTGCGATGCCATCGCCGGCCTGTACGGACTTCTCCTCCGCCGCCTCCGTCAGTGCGGCAAGCAGCGCCGGCCCCGCCTCCGTTGCCAACAGGGATGATACGTCAGCCGGTGCCGTCGTCGTCGCCAACGCAGCGCCACTTGTGTCGCCTCCGCCTCCGCCGCCTCCGCCTCCACCTCCGCCTCCGCTGTCGATAGGTGGTCCCGGAGCGCCGCCGAGCGTTCCGCTGCCGACGCGACGTCTCGTCTCGTTGCCGATAGAGGCAGCGGTGGCGGCGCTAGGATGCCGTACATGGACTCGATGTGACGTGTCCGAGAGTCTGTCTGACGTGTCAGAGAGTTCACTAACGCGCCCTAACGGGGACCCACGGACCTGTACGGCGTTTGATACGGCGGCGTTGGCGGGGGTGGCGGCTGACGCCAAGGAACCACGGCTCCTTGCCGGGGTTGACGGCCCCGGCAGTCCCTCCACCCCCATTAACGCCTGACGTGCCGTACAGCCTGGCAGTGGCGACCCCGCCACCGAAGCCGTCGACGCGGAGGCAGGGGGAGTGGCCCCGTCGAGTCCAAGAACACGCTGGACACCCACCTGCATATCCGTTGCAGGGGACCTAGCCGCCGCCGTCACCGCCGCCACTGCAGTAGTTGACGGCCGCCGCGAGCCCCAAATCGCACCGCTAGCGTACGACGTCGCCGCCGCCAACATGCCGCCGCCGCTGATACCGACCCATGAGCGTGAGTGCCGCGGCGTGGCGGTGACGCTGTCGCCGCCCCTGCCTTGAGTGGCGGCGGCGGCGGGCGCGGCGGCGGAGCCTGATTTCCAACCGGCCCATGCCCAAGTCCAAATCCACGAGGACGAGGAGTTGGGGGCGGCGGCGGCGGCGGCGGTGGAGGGCCAAGATTGGCCACTGGCAGCTGAGTTGGCGGGCTCCGCCAAGGCGACGGACACAGATGCTGACGTGGAGGGCGCCGCTGCCGCCACCCCGGAAGATGATCGCTGCCGTAAAACTCCGGAAGAATGTGAGGCGAGGAATTCCGTGGCCGCGGGCCCCGCGGCGGAGCGGCCGAAGGATGTGACGCCGTCACCGCCGCCACCGCCGCCGCCAAGGGCGTGGTATGAGATTGAAGTGCTGGCGTCGCCCATGCCGTACGGCAGGTGCTGTACATGTGTGATGGAGCCACGTCCAAGAGAAGAAGAATCGGAAGGCTGCTGCTGGAGCTGCTGCGGCAGTGGCGGCAGTGGCGGTGCAGCCGTCGCCCCCGCTGCAACGACGCCGCCACCGTACGACAGGGCGTTTACGGCCCCCCCGAGCTGCAACGTGGTGGCGGTAAGGTTGTAGCTATTACCGGTCCCGCCGTTGGCCGCTGCCGCTACCGGTGGCGCCGCTGTCGGCGTCGACGAGCGCTGTGGGCGAGAAGAAGATGACAGCGCGGCGGCGGCCCCACCGCCCGGTCGAAGACTGCTGAGTGAGTACCGGAGCGGCTGTTGCTGCTGCTGCTGCTGCGGCTGCTGCTTGTTGTGGTTGTGGTTGTGTGCTGGCGAGCGGGGTGGCGGCGAGGCGCTCACACGCGAGTGCCCGCCACCGCCACCGCCACCTAAGCTCCTACGGCCTATCGCGAGTTGCAGTTGGTGGCTATGAAGGTGGTTGTTCTGTTGATGGTTGTGGAAGTGGTTGTGGCTGTGGCTTCGCCGGTGGTGGTGGTGATGGGGGGAGTGAAGTGGGGGCGGGTGATGACCCGGGTGCGTGTCGCCGCCGGGGGGCGCTGCCGCGTGGAGCCCGTGTAGATGTACGGTAGCCGTGGCGCGGTGTACGACCGCCATGGTGATGTACACCGCGGCGGATTGTACGACGAGCGCCATGCGGTCGGCTTCATTGAGCAAAACCGTGTTTGTGTTTAGTGTGGGGTGGGGGAGGGAGTGGGGGCCCCGGGGACAAAACACGCAGAACGGTGTTGATGGCAGTGAGGAAGACAAGCAGGAGGTGGGCCGGTGTGTGTGTGTGTGTGTGTGTGTGTGTGTGTGTGTGTGTGTGTGTGTGTGTGTGGGGGGGGGGGGGGGTAGGTAGGTAGGTAGGTAGGTGAGTGGAGAGTTCGTTGGTGGCCTTTTAGCCATCTCATAGCTTCCCTCCCAATAACACATCCTAATACCGCGTCAGTCCGTCAGCCCGTCAGTCAATCTGTCTGTCTGCCTGTCTGTCTGTCTGTCTGTCTGTCACTCGGTACCTGTGAGACGAGCCGGGAGCCCCCGGGGGACCTCCGCCGGCAAGCAGTGCTGTTGAAAGGCCCCACGTAGAGCGGACTCCAACAACCACCGGCTCTCATCCACATCCCCGCCGCCAGCCGCTGCCGCCGCCGCCGCCGCCGCCACGGTGCCGTCAGCAAAACCCCCGCCAGCCGCTGACGGCGCCGCTGGGTCCTGCGCCGCCAGCAGGGCGGGAGTCGTCGCGGGAGTTGCTCGTCCAGCGACGGCGGAGGTGCGGTCGACGGCGGCCGCGGCGGCGGCGCTGCCGCGGGCCGCCAGCGGCGGCAGGTTGAGTACGACACGTCCGGCGGCTGCCACAGCTATGAGCAGTCCGCTGAGCCTTAGAAGTTGTTCAAGGGTGAGGTAGCCCGCACCATCCCTGCAGTGGTCCGTGTATGCGCGCGCAGGTGTGTGTATGCGTGTATGTGTGTGTGTTGGGGGGTTCTCCCTCAATCCCCTGGCTAAGAGGCGCCGTGGGATGCGAAAGGTACGGAAAAGCAACTAAAAACCGAATACCGGAAACCGAATCGGGAGCAACCTCAGGAACGTGAACAGGTGGGCTTCCATACGGCCAGAATACGACATGCTGTACTGCATATCCTGCACAGCTTATCCTGTCCCACATCCTATAACTAAAGTCCACCCCCCCACACACACTACCACCCCACCACCACGTCGCCCTCACGAGCCCCGTCAAATGCGGCAACCCGCAACCGCTACTCCGCTGCATGACCCTCCGGAGACACTTATGCAGACATACCGACATACCGACATACCCACATTCACCTATCCAGTGTCCAGAAGGCCGCGTGGGCCCTCTCCTCGGGGCTGCCGCCCGCCGCCACTGCCCCGAACACCAACTGGTCCGGTGGGGGAAAGGGGGGAGGGAGGGGAGGGGGGGAGGGAGGGGAGGGGAAAGACGAACCACGTGAACGAGTGAAGCTGCTGCCAAGGAAAGAGTGTACAAGAAGCAGAACTGACCGGGGAGGGGAGGGGAAAGACGAACCACACACGATTGAAGCTGCTGCCACCGGGGAGGGGAGGGAAGATGGGTGTAAGGTTAACGGGCATGCGGCGCTGGAAAGGGGGTGGGGGGTGGGGGGGAGCGGCTGCGCCTCCGGATAGGGAGCGCTACAGTTAGTATCGCTGATGACTGCTTTCTCGGATCGAAATCTAGATCCAGAACTAGCACTGCCATCGGCTGCTTCTTCGGATCCGGATCCAGAGTTGGCCAGCTGCTCTACAGTACTCCGAATCCAGCACTCCAGCAGCTGGATCCAGAACACGAACACACCTTGCTTCCCGATCCGAAGGAGCAGCAGCTGGCAGGAACAGCTCTGGATCCAATTCAATCCAGCTGCTTCACTTCCGGATCCAACAGATCAAGCTAGAATTCGTCACAGCGATTCCGGTGGACACACTCACCAACGAGTCCAGGGGAACCACGCGGTCCAATCCGAGGCCCTTGAGTCCATGACCATCACCACCACCGCCACCACTGCCGCCACCGCCGCCGCCTCCGGCAGCGCCCCACGCCGTCAATTCCCCGAGTACGGCCAACGGCTGAACGTTCTGTACGGCACAAAGTTTACAGCCGCGCGGGTGTGGGTGGGGACACAGGAGGAGAGAGACAAGGGGTCGGGAGCTCGGATGCCGGCTAGCTGGGGTTCCCCAGGAATGGACGAGGATGGATAGAGGTGTGCGGGAGGGTGAGGACGAGGGTGAGGTGGAGGAGGAGCTCCGGACGAGAATGCCATGATGCAGGGCGTGGCGGCAACCTCATCACGGGCAGGAAGCTACGTGTTCATCAGGGGCTGTTGAGGAAGTGGGGGACGCCGTCGCTACGGGGGGGGGGTTGGGGGTTCCGGAGTGCTGATTTGGGAGCGAGGTACACGGTTGGAGCGAGCGACACAAGGGGCTCAAAGCTTGAGGAAAATTGGTTCAGGTTGCCTCGCCATGGAAGAGGGGCGGATGTAACTCTAGAGAGGTGATATCCGATGCCATCACCTCGCAATTCCTTTCCTTGCTAGACAAGGTGTAGCAAGGAGATAGTGCCAAAACCAAGCCGCGTAGATGTGAGGGCCGAAGTTTGCGGGAGAACGGGCGGTGACACTTTTCAACGAATGAAGTCTGATCAGTCATGGCAACGCAGTAACATCATAGCATTCAGGTGTCCTGGGACATGCGTCTTGCCGCGGTTTAGGTTGCCTTTGAGCAAGTTGCATGTAGCTAGGACCCAGCTGAACCTACCGGCGGGATACATGGAATGTGCTGGATAATGGATAACGCTGTAGCTTCGGTCAAAACATCTGCCACAGCGCTGCGGGAGGTGCCCGGCCCAGCACCTGCGCTCGCCATAGGTGAACACGACAGTTGGCGAACAATCCACGGATCCAGGAAACTGTGCAGGTAAAAGAGAATACATGGATATCAAATGCATCCATATCACCTATACGAGCTTACCAACGGAATTAAGAATGAGCTGGAAAGCTGGAACTGGCGTGGGCTCGCAGGGGAGCGAATGCTCCACGAGCGCCACTAGGGTTTCTATTACCAGCATCTAATCCAGACAACAACTTAGTTCCTGCAGCTGGCCAGGTCAGTCAACAGAGTCACACAAATTCTGGCGTACGGAATACGGTGTGGGCGATGCCAGGCCCAAACCCTTTGTTTACATTCCTATATCTTATCTGTGCATTAACGTAAAGTTATTCATCTTCTTTGCATTTTAAGATTACTGGCTTGTGTCCACAGCGTAGTAGCGTGCTGGTGCAGCACTGCAGCTGTACAGCTCGTACGGCCTTGAAGTTTGCGATGATTTGCCTAACTCCATGACTTCTCCACAAGGCCAAAGTCCATCGATGATGAAGGCTCCTGCTTGAAGTCGAAGTCCTTACTGTAGACAGGAATGAAGCGGCTGATATAGTTAGCTATCCTGTAGGGAAAGGCCACCTGGGTCATCACAGCGGGATCTATTTTATTGGCCTGAGATCTGCCCATCTTGGGCGTCGCCAAGCACGCTGAAATGGACCGCAGCGGGCCGTCGGCCAATGCCAAGCCCCGCAAGGAGTTGTAAGTTCTGCTAGTCAGAGCGTTTTCATAAACTTCATTAGTCCTTATCCATTTTAGCTGTCTGACCTGCTGCTGCCTTGTTTCCCAACGCAACCCAACAACGTAACCCGTCGTAAGGAACTGGTGGCATAGCTTCAACTCCTGGTAAGCTTTTTGCCCATTTATTGCAATTTTTGCTATGAAGTGGTCACTGTTCCCTCTGAGGCTTTCGGCGCGGGCAAACCCGTTCCTACAGGTGGCGTGACGAGTATGATAAGCTAGGGCGACGGCCGCGGATGCAAGAGGTTGACGAGTAAGTAAGGTTATTCGTTATTATCATCTACTGTAATATGGGCGCTGGCGCATGTTCCTCACGTTTTCACACGGGCGTGCGTGTGCGCATTTTTCCTGTCGATAAGTCGTGGACGGCAAGGTCCACGCATGTGCCATTCCTACCAGACTCAATCAATAATGACCAATGCTTCCAAAATTCTAACTCCAACGGGGGTGTTCGAACCCCAGTCTCTGGGAGTTGCGGCGCGAGTATGTTTGCGGGTCTGGGGGATGGCAGCGGGGCCGACCCTCCTCCTCCCAGGTCGCGCGACACCTACAGCACGCCCATCCCCAAAACACACAACACATATACACACGCTCGTCTGCCCCGGCCATTCCGCTGTTCCTATTCCTCGCATCCCAGGCCCATGGCCTTCCAAGCGCCGCCTCTTAGAACCCACCACCAATGTACGACACGCGCGTGTGCATGCATGCATGTGGGTTTGCGTCCATGTCGTGCATTTCGAGAGAACACCCGGGAGAGGGAATGCGGGGAAGCCTGGGGTGGACCCTGTGATGAAGACGGTCCGGAGCCGGGCTGAGGCTTGCAGCAAATTGGGCAATGGCAGCCCAGCCCCTCAGGAAATAAAACATCAACAGATCTAAAGAGCGATGGAGAAAGCAGCAGTCAGCGATATATATATGTATAGGGAGAAATGAAAACGGACGTCGAAACCGTCAGCCAACCTGCAAGCGGTAGTGTGGCGAGAGGTGTGCGCGGCATGATGGGCTGCTGCCTGCAACCTTGCATACGCCGTCCTCATCCCGTCGCCTTACAGCCGCGTTACAGTCACGCTACAGTTGGCTTGAGCAGTTCGGGCCCCAGCGAGCAATTTGCATTGGAATTCCATAACGGGAGGTTTAGGAAGGGTTTCGTCCACCTATAATATTATAGGTCTGAATGTCAGATGAAATGCATGCGCCTTAGTGCATATTACCTCAGTAGTAATAGTAGTAGTAGCAGGAGGAGCAGGAGCAGGAGGTGTTACAGCGAGCCCTCCCTAGACCCCACGGCAGGGCTTATTGTTATTGTCGTAGTAAAGACTAGAGACGACACACGTCCTTCCATAAGAAGTTATTTTCTTTCTGTTAAGAGTCCTCTGCAGGAGGGGCTGGCATGTCTGCTATTTATTCGGTTATTTATTTTTGCTTCTGTACCGTAGTCTGTCGTATGTTATGCACGTGGGTGGCACGTGTGTACGGCATTGGGTTCAGTGTTTTTAAAACCTTTTCACCGTGGTAATGTTTTAGTGACCAAGTGGTTACTGTGTAGGGTTTTCTTTGGTAACCACCTTACAAAAATGTTTCCCCAGCGAGTATGCTGAACAGGAGCCCCCTAGAACCATGCATCCGAAGATCACTTGAAGAAATGAATGAACAATCCGTCTGAGCAAGCTTTCATCAACTTTGACTCTATGCACGGCAACGCGTTCCCGAGCCGAGCTCAGTGAAGCATTACTGCTCCCATCCAAGCGTCAAAAAATTGTTTAGGTGGTCAGTACGGGGATCTGTGGCCCCCTATTTCTTGGCGACCACCTGGTTACTGGCAGGTGAATCGAAACATTCCTTAGTGACACCACCTTCTGGAAGGGAGTTATTTTCTCAGTAACCACTTTGTCACTAGTAACCACTTTAAAAAACACTGATTGGAATGCAGTGCGGACGCCTTTTCTTGTGTGTATGTATGTTGTGTAATATAAGTAAGGGGTAGTAGTAGTGATTTGGGTTCTCCCGTGAAATAATATCCTAAACAGGAATGCGCCCGTTTGTGGTATAGTTCTGCGCGCGCGCTGCACGGGCCCGCCTGCATGAGTAGTCGTACGGATGCCACGGTACATTGTTATTAGTGTACTCAACCGAAAACACTTTCGCGCAATAGCCACTACGTGTCCGATCGTCCTGGCTTCCGAAGCACCGCCCGCGTAAAGCGTGTTACGTGACGAGGTGCCATCAGATGAAATTTCCATGCCTCAAGATCACCAGCCAACTGACGACCAATACTTTTGCATGCGACAGCTTACAGGAAAAACCGAAGACGCGTGAAACGAAATGGAAAACTCCTGGCGTTTGATTTTCAAGGACGAAAACCTGAGGGGCACTTAATAGATAGATTCTTGTTATCTAAGCGTCTTGGTAAGTAAACGGAGAGAACGTAGAAACTGTAAGGATATAAGAACATATTGCGCACTGGAAAGGGAAAGTTTTTTTTCCGCGCGCTCGTAGCGTACCTGCCACGTCTTCCGTCGCATCGTGCATCGGAAAGAGCTCGGCGTGCTTTTGCATCCGACACAACACACATCCCATTTCACATCGCAGCTGGTATAACGAGCACGCTGAAAGGATCTGGGGCCCGGAGAAACCTTCTTTGGAGGCCACCCGCGACCATGCCAAGTGCCTTCGCAGCAAAAAAGAACTACGCGAGTATTTTCAGCGCTACAACGCAAAAAAGGTAAGCCTGCTCTTAAACTTGTATTTCCCCAACGGCCTTGCGCGTTATATGCATCGTCAGGCAAGGTCTATATTCCGTCTTACAATTGTACAGCTAGCTGAAGTTTCCGCTGCTGTGTCATGTCAGGCCAAAAGGCGACGTGCTGTGGATTGCGCAAAGCAGTTCTGGCATTTTTACGCGGTCATGTAATGGCCTGTCCCCTTCCTCCATATCCCGTTCCCTTGGCTCTTACCTAATGCGTATACCTTATCTCCCATCCTCCCTTACCGGCTGTCTTGACTTGCGGAACCCCCGTACGGCATCGGTGTACGACACCGTACTGCGATTTATGGTGATGCGGCAGCAACTTGGGCGTCCCTTCAACGACTTGCGTCAATGCCGGGGGAATCGCCCGCGCAGCGGCGGCGGCGGCAGCAGCAGCAACCAGCCGGTAAGTGCTACAGCAGCCAACAGCAGCCAATCGCCGCGGTCAAGCTCCGACCCGGGTGGTGGTGGCGGCGGCGGCGGTGGTGGCTGTAGCGGCGCCATGGGCAGCTATGATGGTGGCTGCGACGGCGCCACCGGTGGCGCTGGCGCTCAGGAGATGTACGGCGCTTGTACGATGGACATGATGAGCGACGGAGGCCTCGACCAGCCGCTACGCAGCCGGGATTCCGACGTGAAATTTGAACTTGACGGCAGCAGCCCGCAAGCCCGCTTCAGCGAAGGCGGCGGCGGCGGCGGCGGGGTGCCGGACGGCTTTGCGGGGCCCACGGCGATCTTGGGGACCATGGGATCATCTGTTCGTGGTCATGAAGCCCTCGGTCCGCTGGGGGCGGCGGTATCGGCGGGCGAGGACGCCTTGGCCTTGGTCCGCTCCGGGGCGGCGAGTCCCATCAGCCACGGCAGCGACGGTGGTGGGGGCGGTGGCGCTGGCTCTGACCGACTCAACGCCGCGCGCCATCATCCGCACGGTAACCACCTGAGCCGTGCCAATGGCCATATCAACGGGAACATGGTCGGTGGTTTCGGAGGTCCGAAACCACCATCGCTTCGCAGCGGCGATGGAGGAAATACCGCCGAGGCCACGGACGCCGGCGCTGCCGCCGCCCGAATGCTAACGGGTAACAGCGCACACTGTCCTGCATTATCTGCCGCCGCAGCGGCAGCTGAGAACGTTATTAACCTGGACAGCCAGATGCCGTACAACGGCGGCAGCAGAACCGCCGCCGCCACCGCCGCCAACGTAACTACCGGTTCCACGCCTCCTGTCTTTTCCGACTCGCGCCCGGACTCGCACCGCACAAACCTCTCCCGACCCCCGCCTGCCGCGGCGCCGTCGACACTGACGTCTGACGGCCTCGTCCCGCGAAGCTATCAGGCCCAGGCGCCGCACACGTCCCACTCGCACAGGTTCGAGCCCCACCGACATCACAAGCACATTCAGCCGGGCCGAGTCAACTGTGCCCCGGCGGCTTCGGCTGAAGCGGTAGCCTCCGGCTGCTGCGGCGGCGGCTGCAGCGGCAGCGGCGCAGCTGCGATAATGGCAGCGGATGAAGAAGAGGTAGAGGAGGAGGATGAAGAGGCCGTGGGCGGTGACAATGCGTCTTCAGGGGCTACGGAATCGTACCCGAGCAATTTGGCGCTAGTCTCCCGTTGGCTGGCTGGCATCGCGGCATCGGCTCTGAAGAAACGGGTTTCAATCGACTATACTGTTGACTTGGCGGGAGCTGCGGCCTCTGACCGCGGCGGCGACGTCGACGCTGTCCCTATGTACGGCGGCGGCAGCGGCGGCGGTAATGGAGATGCAGTGAATGGCAAGGAACCGGAGGCGACGGGCGTGTTGGACGCCGCGTGGCGGCGGGCGGCGGGGGAGGCGGTGTCGCCGGCGCCGGCGCCGCCGCAGCCAGCCCTGGCACACGCGCATGGGGAAGATGCTGCGCCGATGGAGCACGGCGATGCGGAAAGCTACGGCGAAGACGAAGGTGTGAAGGCTGAAGAGGATGCCAGCCGATTGGCTAATGTTCATCTGGACCTGGACGTGACGCATTGTCAACAACAGCAACGCCACCATTACGACAGTCCGTGCGGCCGATCGTCACAAGACCGAATACCGGGTCCCGTTACAGGTACGGCAACGGTCGCCATTGAAACGGCGGAGGCGGAGGCGGTACAGCTGGCGCGACGCAGCTCTGGCGGCGGGCGGCGCGAGGCTAGTGGTCACAGTGGCGGCGGCGCAGTCCCGTCACCTGGCGGCGGCGGCGGTGATGATGAGGAGCCCTCTCCGTTAGGTCCTCGGGAGCCCTCTCTCTCCGACCTACCGCAGTCGCCGCTGGCGGTGCTGGCGACGGCGGTGGCTACCGACGCCGGCGTTGCCGCTGCCGCTGAAGCGGCGCTGCCGCTACAGCTGTCGTTCCGCTCCAGCGACGCTTTTACCGGGTGCCGCGAAGAGACAGACATTCTGGGCAGCGGCAGCGCCGGTGGTACTGCCGCAGGTGGCACCGGCGGCGGCGGCGGCGGCGGCGGCGGCTCTCTGTCCGCCGGCAGCAAACGCGCGGCGGCCGCGGCGGCTGCCGCTCTGGAGCTCTTGGGCGTGCCGTCACTGCGCGCCTCCGTCGCTGACGACGGCTTTCCTGACACGCCACACCTGCATCGGCCGCAAAAGCTCTTGCGGCTTGAAACGGGACTGTCGGGGCATGGAAGGAGCGGTGGCAGCTTGAGCCAACGTCCAAGTGTGGCGTCATCTGGCGCTGCGATAACCGGAAGCGCCGTGAGCTTGAGCGGCAGCGGTGCTGGCAACGGCGGCAGCGGCGGCATCGTTGTTGAGCCGCCGCCACGTCCACCACCGCCGCCGGCAACGGCAGCTGGCGGTATTGTACGGGCGCCTACGCCGGTCCCGGGGGTGACACTGCCGCCGGGCTCTCCCCCGGATCCTTTCCGTACACCCATGTTCCAACGCTCCATCGGGAGGGAGGGCCTTGGCGGCGCGCATCTAGGCGGCGGCGGCGGCGAGGGCGGCAGCTGCAACCTAGCGCCGTCGGTTCTTCAGGCGCGAGAATCAGTGTGTATGCGCGGCACGTTGCCGCTGCCGCCAGCAGGGGCAGTAGCAGCGGGGACAGCGGGCTTTTTGTTGCCGCAGCGAGAGTCGCTTAGCGCGCGGGGCAGCATGCCCCCGCCGCTGCTGCTACTGCCGCCGCGTGAGTCAGTACGGGACTCCTTAGACACGCGGCCGCTAACGCACCGTGAGTCGATGATGCCGCCGCCACCGCCGTTGCCGCTCGCAGAGCGGTCCTCATTCGTACGCACCGTACCGTTACAATATGCACGATCTACATTCCCCTCAATTCCCCATGAGCACCCCCATGATTTGCTGCAAAGGCACTACTTCATGCAAAAGCAACAGCAACAACAGCAACAGCAACAACGGGAGCACGAGCAACATCATCAGCAACAAAAACAACAACAGCAGCAACAGCAACAGGGCGTCAGGTTCCTCGCGTCGTCGGTGTTTGCAACGCGGCCGGACTCGGTCGCTGCGGCGACTGCACCCGCTGAGGCGGGGGGGGAAGTGGAAAAGTCAATTCCTGCGGGGCCGGTGGCCCCACCGTCAGGCCCGGACGGCAGTAGCAGAGCTGACGGCAAGGCAGCGCCGCCGCTGCCGCAACACCCGCTAACGGACGCTGGCCGCCGATTGACAACCCCCCGGCTGCTGTCGGAGGTAGATGCCGGGTGGTCGGCGGCGGCGGCGGCGGTGCGCCCGCTGGCGGCCCGGCCTGCCGTCACTACCGCGATCGGCGGCGGCGACGTCGCGCCGGTCAGCGTGCCTATCGTCTTGCAGTCGCGTAACGTCGTACGGACGTGTGTACAGCAGCTCTTGGACGATGGTCGTGTACTGCAATCCCCAGTTCATATAGTTACGGTTCGGCTGACGTTGCCGGCGGCAGGGCTGCGCGCGCTGCTGCGGCAGCACCGGCAGCAGCAGGCGGTGCCCTCTCAGCCACCGCCGCCGTCGGAGCAGCAGCGCTGACGTAGGGAAGCTTTGTTGAGATGCCCTGTCCGGAGATAAGGCCTTTTCTCCTGGGAATGCGGAATGCGGAAAGGTGTTCTTGGTCTGAAGGAGGGAAGGGGGACCGGGGGCATGTCGGAGGCGGTAGATGGTGGATTCCATAGGGAGGGAGGGGAGGAGGGACTAACGAGGCTTGGCAACCCTGCATGGGATAATCCCCCCTCTACCCCCCTCATCCCTAATCCACCTCGTTGCTGTTTTCTCCGTAAGCTGTGCGATGTATGTATGTATATATGTATGTATGTATATATGTATGGTCGTTGCCTATATTTCAGGCGTTGAGAGATCTGCGGCCCTCCTGCATAGCCGTAGGGGATGAGCTAATGTACAGCATGACGTGTAAGGATGTTGCGGAGCGGTTGCGGAGCGGTTGCGAGGTTGCTTGCTTGATTGCGTGTGAAGGGACCCACCCTCCTCGCCTAGATTGCGCAGGATGGTGGTGGTGGTGGTGGTAGGGGGAGGGCCGGCCGTGGAGGTGGGAGTGGAGTGGAGTGGGTTGGGGTGGAGTGGAGCGGAGTGGGGTGTTGCAGGGCTGTGGAGGCGAAACGCCAAACGCCACCACCTCCTCCTCCTCCTCCTCCACAGACCTCTGGACCTTTGGAAAGGCATCCTGCCCCCGCCCCACTGTTTCTGACGACCCCATCATTTCAAAATCATTCTTGCCACTTTCCACAGGCGGGCCACATCATGTACGGCACATCATGCACTGGGCCCTATGCATGCAGTGATGTCATATAGAGTGCATAAGGAAAATATATGCCTCGTGTACCGCATGTTGTTGCTGGCCCAGGGAGCCTCTGTGGGGAGGGGGGGGGTAAGGGCAGAGTACTTGGTGCTGTAGCAGCAGCGAGCGGTACTGCCGGTTCTGATTGGGAGGTGCGGTGCGGTGCCACTGGAGTCGCGAACGAAAGGGGGGTTGCGGGGGCGGACGGGGCGGGGGGAGCCGGGTTTAGTTATGAGAGCGAGGAGATGTTGGGTACGTGGGTGATTGTGATGCTCGGGCTATTGCCCCGAGGCAAATACCATATTTGCTACATCGACATGGCGCGGAGGCTACAACCCACACCTGCCTGTCTGTCTGTCTGTCTGTCTGTCTTTTGGCGCGTGTACGTGTTGTAACTCTGCATCCGCATTATTTGTTGATTTTGTCTCGTGCATGCTCATGATTGCTTGATCCGCGTGTCCACTCACTCCCCCACTCGGCGCCACTCGGGAGAAGCATCTTGATCGGTGCGCTCCCTCCGACCTGACACCACACACTGAGTGGGGCAGGGAAGTGGGATCTGCATCGCCGAACGGATTCAGTGCGCCAGCAGCCTTTCACTGCCGTCCTGGTTCCCTCTGAGGGCTATGTTGAAATTGATGGTGGCGGTGGGGCAGGCAGGCAGGCGTTTGGGTGCGGGAAGGGCTCCCCCGCCTCCCCCTAGGAGAGGAGGGCGCGGGCCGAAGAAAAGCAATCGACGACCGGAAACCCGAAATGGCCGAATGGAATGGAGGGACCTCATCGACTGCGCCGCATGGAGAGCGTCACATAATCGTCCCTAGTGCGCAGTGAGCTAGCTGCATTTGCATCGTTAACACTGGCATCCATCATGACGATAATGATAATGCTGATGAAGATGATGACTGTGGTGACTGTGATTTTATCGTAATATTTCCGTGATGTGTTCGTTTTTACTGGCACTGGTGTCCCTTGGTTGCGGTACCACTGTGAATCAATCATATGTTCAATAACACGCAGAAATTTCGTATGCCTGCAGCGTGTTGGGGCCGGCAGCGTGCGCGCTATTGAGTGGCATCAGACGCTGCGGAAAGATTGCTGCAAATTCGAGATGGTGTACGGGGACAATGGGGAGAGGTCGGGGTGTCCTCCAGAGTGCATGCCGAGAGACGTTTGCTGTTGCCTTGCAGTGGAGCGAGGGAGCGAGGCCTTCTATTGTTTTCGTGCACGTACAAATATGCGCACTGCACAACACGGAGTTTGGTTCTTCTGACATATGGGTAAAAGCTGGGACTTTGCAAACTGGACGTTATTGGGTTGGCCGGGTCGCGTCGTGCTACGTCAGCGCCTTAATTTTTGCTGTTGTTGTTGTTGTTGTTTGTTATTATCGTTGTTATTATCGTTGTTATTACCGTTGTTATTATCGTTGTTATTATCGTTGTTATTACAGCGGTTGTGGCTACCAAGTTCTATAACGAAAAGTACGCCAAGTCGCCTCCAGCTTGTGAGTGTACGGTTCGTCTCGTTTCAGTGAATTCCTGCTACTCGTCGTACAATATCCCGTTCTTTAGAGAGGCCAAAGGGCGCATCGCCTGTCGCTGTAATAGATACAGCCCCGGAAAGGAAGAACAAGTGGTCCGTACCGGCACGCACAAACACCTCAGCAAGCTCGGCTACGACTAAGACCGGGCTAGCACTGCTGATGTGCGATTTCCCGCCCCGGTGTGCTGTCGCTTGCGCGAACCGTGGCCCCATCTCCATCGCACTGACTGCCGCTAGGAGGACCACTAGCGACATCCCAAACCCGCCGGAGGCTGCATTAGCCAGGGTTAGCCACAGGGATATTGGGTGTCCCAATCGTATAACAATTTGATTATGGCCGCTTGAGTGATTGGCAGTCCCCAAAGTGATGTATCCTAGGCGACTGGGATTGTTGACGACTTGTGAAAGCGCCACCACATACACAAGCGGTTGGTGTAGCTGCCTGCAAACGAGAGTTACCTAGTTATGGGTTACCACCAACTGACAACCTCGACCAGGTTTCCCTTTGGGATTTTCCCATCGAACAGTCAGCCGACCACACACGACGGACGCATGTTGTGAAGCACGAATTGCCTAAGATGGTGGTTGTTGCTGTGGGGAAGGAATGCTGAATGCTTCCCGCACAACTAGCAGATGCGCTTGATTACATGAGCCTTTGTTGCTTGTGAATGTACAAGCAACAAAACTTGTATGGAGTTGTCCTACTATAATTTGGATTTTTTGATCCGTGATCCGTACGGGTTGGGGTTATGCCATAGAGGATCTGCCAGGCAAGGTCAGCGTAATGTACTTTTCCGCGCGACAGCTGCCTTCAGGGAGACCTGCCTCCCCCCCAACCTGCCTCAGGCCACTAAGCAGCAAATTAGTCTACGAATGAATGACGCTGGATACATTACAGTGAAAGTGATCCGAGCGGATCACAACAAGCGAGTGTTGCCCTGTCTCCCCCCCCCATAAGCCAAACCCTAGGTTTTATATAGCTTGCCGGCCAGGGGACGAGCGCAATACCGCAGCCCGGATAGCGCACCAAGCAACCGGAAACGCTATGGGGGTTAAGAACGAGACGTCGATGTTAACAGTACGAAAGCCCAACAAATAGTGAACGACAGGTTCTGAGGTGTTTGGGACAGGGAGAGGTGTTTGGAGAGGGCAGGCACCCGTTATAGGGGTGTGCGGGAAACGAATGCAGGCGGCCGTGGGGAAGGAAGGGAGTGTCTCTCCGACCCTGAACAACGCCCCAACGACCCAACAGCTCTTGGGATCTTTGCTTTGGGGGCATACAGCTTGTGTTAAGAAGTGCTACCAATGAACGTTACATGTTGGATAACAAGGTGTCCACTAGGATTGTAGTATTGCGATCCCTTTTCCGAAGGTGTAAAAGCTGAATTGGATTTGTCGCAAATTGGCGGATACTCGGAACAGCGCTACCGTCGATTTTGTAGTTCTCACTTGAAACCCCGAAATTTTGGGATAAGAATGCGGGTTCTGTTACCAAGCACCATTTACTATTTACAGTTTCCTTCTCCCTATCCCTGCGCAGTTCGACCACATGCGACATGCCAGCGCAGTAGACACAGCATGGGTCAGTTGTGGGGGAGGAGGACTGTAATTGCCCCAGTCAGTATTCCCAATTCTGCACCTGCAGCTTGGCGATCTGGGGCCTATCATCGGTGTCATCTGAGGCGCGCATGGAACTCTAAGCTCGCAATTTAGGTAGCTATCTATTATCTGGCACTGGGTAAATGCTATAACGTTTCCGTTTTCGTTCACCTGTACTGTGCCGTGCAGCATGTGGATTCGCATGTGGGCAGTATGGCCATAGTGCGGCAAAACTTACTTGTTTCCTATTCTTCCAAAGCCATGGCGTTGCCAATTACTTATGAACAGGCCTTAAGTTGCTGCGCATCCACCAGGTTTGCGCAGCAGCTTGCGGGCGAGGGTCCGTATGCGGACCTGGACGCATTGCTTGCAGCAGCTCGTCGCATATGGTGGACCCAGACCGGATTGCCGGGATGGCTCGAAGCGTTGGCTGCACATCCGAAGATTGGAGACAAGAAGGGCATGGAAGGCAAGACAGAGGCGTTTGCGGGCTTCAGTCGGAATGAACAAGCCGCAGCTAGCCAGACTCTGAGCAGCGATGTCAGCGCTGAGTTGGCCGAATGGAACCACCGTTACTTGAACAAGTTTGGATTTATTTTCATCATATTTGCCAAAGGTAAAGCCGCTCCCCAGATCTTGGAGGTGCTTAAGAGACGCTACCAACGCCTGCCGCATGAGGAGCTGCAGACTGCAGCCCAGGAACAGATGAAGATAACTGAGCTGCGGCTTTGCGGGCTGTTTGGCATATCCGATTACGTTGAATCGGTGGCAGCCAGGACGCAGCGCCGCGCGGAGCAAGTGTTGACTCATCTGGCCCCTGCGCCGGGCGGGCCGCTTCGCTCCCCGATTACAACGCACGTGCTGGACACGGCTACCGGCCTACCTGCTCGCGGCTTGCCTTTGGCGCTATTGAAGCAGGACGATTTCTCCAAAGCGTGGGAGACCGTTGGGGAGGGCATTACCAACGAAGATGGCCGTGTGGGCACGCTGATGCAGCCTGGAAACTACATTACGCCGGGCAGGTACCGCATGTTCTTTGACACTTCAGTCTACTTGGCAGCATGCAAGCTGGCACATCCTGCGTTTTACTCTGAGGTACCATTCTACCCGGAGGTTGTGGTTGAATTCATTATTACGGCCGACAAGGCCACCGAGCACTACCACATTCCTCTGCTGCTGAGCCCGTACGGCTTTTCCACATATCGCGGCAGCTGATGAAAGGACGCTTCAGGATTGGAATGGTTATTGGACCGCAACAAAGCCAGCACCGCGCCCACACGCAGCTTAGCGGTTTTTTGTGGCTTGATACTCCAAGTATTGAGAACTGCAGGATATCAGTCCAACCCATTTGGGTTTCTTCGGGCGTCGGCATAAATGCAAGAAGTTGGCTCCAGGCTTTCCTGTGGCCGTAATGGTTGCGGACCTTACAATAATGTCGGTGTGTAGATGTACGACGGGCGAGATGTCTGGCGGCACGATCTTGGCGAACATGCGAACTTTAGAACACTTATTACCCCCGGGCACACACACACACACACACTACCATGCGTAGCTCTCTCTTGCAGCCAAGTAGGTTGGAATTGCAGGCATTTCCTAGATGCTGTTTTTTGGTGCTCCATGTCCGATACAAAGATGGCAGTCCCAGTTTTCTGCAGCTCAGTGCTATTCATGGCGGGAACAATGGGTTGCATGGAGGGTCCTAAGGTCTTTTTCGTCGGGAGCTCTGGTATTCAAAAGACTCAGCCCTTCTGTGCGTATGGCCAGTCAAGTCTTGATTTGCGGCTCACGGCCTTACTCCGTTGCGTGTCTACCGAACTGGTTATCTTCTTGTGTGTGCATATGTGTGTGTATGAAGTAATGGCAGGCTATTTCCCCAGGCGCGGTCCAAGTCAAAAGTGACATTCCTGTCCTGTCCATATCACGAGGACGGGGAAATCGACACGGCGCTCCTATTATCTATTCCTTTATCACGCCTTGCAGAGACGATGTAATCCGTTCTTCATTGCTTTGTCTGGCGCCTGCGTGTTGGTGTGATGCTGAACTGGACGCAACGGAGGCGGGGAAACGGCGTGCAGGGGAAAGTGTGGAGCCGCTAATGGCGTGTTCTTGTTTGAGAGCGCTTGCTTTGCTTCTTGCTTCCCGTGGTGGATGTTTCCCGCTTCATCACCGATTGCGGTTGGGTTGGGTGACGCTGTTTCACAGTGGCAACATTCAGCTCACGCGCTAATTCCTTGCGCCATTTGTATTTCTTTACAACGCGTGCGAAGTATACTAACCTGTGACACTGGCATGTGCCGCGAAGGCTGCCATAAAAGGCGCAAGGTCTCGTTTGTGTGCAGAACTGGGATAAGTACCATTCCTTCCATCATCTTCCGAAAGGTCGAGAGGTCTCTCACGCATGCGACGCATGGTAATATTCCAACCATCTCGCACATCACAATCACACACGCTACAACCTCAAATTGCAGACACCGTTGCTGCAAAAGGACCAACCGAACCAACTCGTACGAATCATCCGCATCGTAACCAACATCACAGTCACATTTATTGTCGTAGCATAGTACGGGCGCATCAGACGGCGCTCATACAAAAGCAACGCAGGACAGAAACAACGGGCGGCCTGATAAAAAGGGGTAATAGCTGCTTTGGCTCGAGGAACGCCTTAAGACCATTAATGTGGGGAAGGAGGGAAAGCACCCGGGTCAAAACACTCAATATCAGTCAAATCTGTAGCCGACGGGTTTCCTATCATTTAAATTCGGCCTGATCTACCTTCGCCAACAAGTACGCCTGGCATTCGCCACCTCGAACGCATCTCCCACATGATATCGTAGCTTTCAGCCGCAACAGCGTTATGCTGCTGGCAGGCATCATGTTCCCTACGGGAAAAGATTAAACAAACATACAGACAAACAAACACGTGTAAGAAGGCTGCGCAGCTGTTTTTGCAAAGAAGGATGACAATATTGAAAAAATACACGCGGGCTATCGTCGTATTTCAACCCTGGTATGGTGAACCGATATGTGCAACCCTGGACAATCGTACAGGAGGCCTCGCTGTAAGGGACCACCGTGGTGGGTCGACTCCGCGATCCCTCCCCCTTCACCACCGCCTCCCTTCTCCTCCTCCTCCGCATTGCCACGTCAATCCAAAATCACCGCGGACTTAAAAGCCACTGGCGGATTGCAAACTTGACGTCAAATTAGTAAAATCAGCTGACGGCAAATAATCATCGGCACGGGAGCACATGCATGCATGCATACATACACATCCCGTTGGGGTACGGTTAGGTGTCCCTGGCCAGTGTCAGGCCCGGATTGATACATATGCATATAGAGCCTTCACCGATGTGCGTGAGAAGGGGGTAAGGTTGGATTATAGAGATATGGGAAGGGAACGCGGTTGGGTCTACTCTCGGGCTCTTGTGTTCAACACCGCAGGCGCCCTAGAGCGGCTATAGTGAGGTGAGCCAAGTGAACCGACATCAGCATATTACCTATTACATGTTTCTTTCCTTTCTGAGCCTCCACGGCGTTAGTGTGCGCGAGTGTGCGCATCTAACCCGGGCAGTAGCAGAGCGTCGCGAGCAGTAGCAGAACACATCGCGCCCGCCCAGGGTGGGGGGTGGGGGGAGGAGGAAGAAGAAAAAAAGATAAAAGAAATGCGGTGCGGTGACGGTGGGGGCAGGGAGGGAAGAGTGGATGGTGAGAATGGAAATCAATCAGACGCGCATGCGCACGTACAGACATACACACAAACATACACGCATAAAAACCTGACAATCAAGCAGCTATTACCCCTTCCTCTCAAACTACGACAAGTCCAGTCCGTACTTGGTCATACACCGGGGCACACCTCTGCCCCACCCTCTCCTCTCCTCTCCCCTCCTGACTTCTCACCACCTCCAAGGGATGCTGCTCAGTGGTGCGGGTGAGGCCCGGAGACTGGCAATACAGCTGTCAGCACTTCATCTACGAAGACCGGAACTCTCGTCCCCGGAGAGTTAAAGCTCAATCACCGCCACCACCACCACCAGCTATTGCGCCGTCATCACGTCATCAGCCGGTGCCCACAAGGGTGGTTGCAAGACTAGGGTTTCCAAACGATTCTTCTCCGAACCTGTCGTACTCCTCATGCTGCTGCTGCTGACTTGCCGGCGTCCCCCGCTCTCATCCATTCCCCATCACCCCCTCAACAGACAGACAGACAGATAGACACACACACACACATATATCCCCCATTGCGTCACAGAGAGAGCGGCATCTCCCTCCACCTCCAACCAAGCCCCCAGAATGTAACCGCTAACTCCTAAACGAACAAAATGCTTTGCATGATGTCTGGAGCAACTTGAAACCAAGTGGGGACTGCTCCATCAGAGCACTTCCCGACCGGCTGCGAATGTACGGCTGTGTTTACAATATCGTGGCGCTATGTGACAGTGATCAATCGACCGATGACCGCGCAATGCAGGACAGAGAGACAGGCACCGCTACACGCACAAATACACACATACATACATACTCGCTCTTTTTATCTTCTCAAAAACCAGGGTGGGAGCTGCCTTCCGCACAAAAATGCACAACGAAATGCTGCTGCCTCGCACAGTTCTTTCCTTTTTTCCCCGGACGGACAGTCCCGGGCTCCGAAACCACCACCACTGAGCCCCGCCCCAGCACCCACCAACAAGCAGATACGGAGCCCCGAAACTGCCGTACTTCCCCAAGACGCCCACTTACCCACCACTGACATGTGACTGCTACTCGCCGTACTTCTGTGCCCCATCCCCCCAACTCCACACACAACCCAGCGTTGCCATGTACGGGGTCCCCCCAAATATGGGTTCGAGCAACCCTCTTTCCCCCCCGCAACCCCCCCCTGTGTCCCGCGTTCCCCCCTCTCCACTCCACGCCCCGCATAGAGCGCTGCTATTTATTTATTCTGTTACTGCTCGCACAAGAAAAAGGGCCCCAGGCCCTTCCCCATCCCCCGTACACACATACATACATAGACACACACTCCTGCCTTCCGCTCTCTCCACCACCACCACCACCACCACCACCATCACCACGATAAAGTCCACGTCCACCACGCACTGCTTCCATTCCGTTTGTCCATCTACTAATTACCTGTTTACTATATCTCAGGGTGCTCGGGGGGTGAGGACGGAAAGCGCTCTGTCCGTTTTTGTGTGTATTTGTGTGTGTATGTATGTATATGGGTGTATGTATGTATGTGGGTGTATGTATGTATGTGCCCAACCCGCGGGCTATGTCCTCCGGCTCTCCAGACGGGGTGATGTGGGCGGGTGGGGGAGGCCAGGGGAGAGATTGGGATTCAGGCGTTACGAGGGTTGTAGCTGTAGCTGCTGTAGAGGTTGTGGCGGTTGTGCTACTGCCGGCAGAGCCCCCTGCCGTGCGACGTACTCGGCCACTCTCTCCCTCAAGTCGCCCAAATCGACATGAAGGTTGCGCCGCGCCCGCTTCCAAACCTACATAAGGTCGGGGCAAGCCGGCAGCGGAAAGGATTGCCACCATGTAACCCGGACCCCCCCGGACCCTGAAGGTTGCCACAAACCCCTCCTGTACAGCCCCTTCCCTTCCCCTCCCCTTCCCCTTCCCCCTCCCCTTCCCCCTCCCCCTCCCCTTCCCTCTCCCCCTCCCCTTCCCTCTCCCCCTCCCCTTCCCTCTCCCCCTCCCCCTCCCCTTCCCTCTCCCCCTC